GAATTTTGCTCTGAGAGACGTTCAGCGACTTTGTCCTCAGATAAACCGTTTCCAAGCTTAAAAAATCTGCATTTTTTTTAAGCATCATGAACTTAATATGTGTAGTTTTCCAAGTGAAGCCATATAAATGATGTGGATACAGCTGGCATCGTTTGGTCTGTTGCTGGATTCAGTTCTGTTTTGTCTCTTTACAGATATTAGAATGTGAGTTCTACCTTCTGGAGCTGATGGTGAGTAGAAGGACATCTTCTCTGCTGGGTTTTATCAGTTTCTGTGCTTCCCTGGATGACTGACGGTTGATGTTTTATCGCTGCAGGACTGCTGCCTGATCGTCTACCACCCCTACCGACCCCTGCTGCAGTACGTGCAGGACATGGGGCAGGAGGACATGCTGCTGCCTCTGGCCTGGTACGAAGCCGCCTGCCGCACCGATTCCTGCGAAACCCGTTTGGTTCAGTGAGTTTAATGCTGTCGTGTGTCTCCTGCAGGCGGATAGTGAACGACACGTACAGGACGGACCTGTGCCTGCTCTACCCTCCCTTCATGATCGCTCTGGGTACGATGCGTTTCTAATTACAGCGTTAACGTCGTTACTGGCTTCAGATAACCTCATCAGGGCTTCTTTTCCTCCCACAGCTTGTCTGCACGTCGCCTGTGTGGTGCAGCAGAAGGACGCCCGGCAGTGGTTCGCCGAGCTCTCCGTGGACATGGACAAAGTCAGACATCTGCTTTTATTATTTTGACGTTAAATTAATACAATTTGGGACGCGTATATGTGAAGATCCTCGCCACAGAAAGCAGCTTGTTGTTCTTCGAGGTTGAACTCATTATTGAGAGGCTGAAGAATGCAGGAAGTTTGTTTTATCTGTTTGTGAGGCTTTTCAACATTTGAGCTTGCTGGAGTTTCTCATAAAGGTTACAAAAGCCCTAAGATGACAGAAAAATCAACAGAATAGTAGTTTGAGGATAGATTCAGGTGTATAACACACAGGTAGACACACATCACTCATATAAACTTAATGTTTGTGTATTTTCTCATGAGAAAAGTTGCATTTTAAGAACATTATTGCACATTAGCTATACAGTACGAGAGCTTACTTTGACGCCAGCTGTTGTGTTAAGTCGTGTCTCTGTTGTTGTTCAGATCCTGGAGATTATTCGCGTCATCCTGAAGCTCTACGACCAGTGGAAGAACTTCGACGACCGGAAGGAGATCGCCGCCGTTCTGAACAAGATGCCCAAACCCAAACCGCCTCCCAACAGGTACGGCCGACCGTTACCCTGCTGTCCGTTGTGTGTTTTATTTATTTTTATAATTACGTGAAGGCATACGCAACAATCAGCCACGACATAAAAACCCTTCACTTCCCTTGCATGAAATGTTGCTGTACCTTCATAGTATTTTATCAGGAATGTTGTCCAGCTAAACTTTTCAACACAAGAACGCTGGCCGGACGGTGTGAACTTTGTCATCGCGGCTCATTGCTCGCTTAACCCTACGCTAACACTGAAAACTGCATCAACTGTTCATTTATGTTGCAGTAATTTGTATGTTAGGTGTTAAATCTTGCAGGTTTTGCATGAGACGTTGCTGTTCCTTCATGATATTATCTCTGTGTGTCTGCAGTGAAAGTGATCAGAGCTCCAACGGGAACCAAAGCAACTCCTACAGCCAGTCTTAGCACTTTGTTATTCCCACGACGTGAATCCACGACTTCGGATCTTCTTAGAAAAAAACCCAACACGTCACACAGCACGACTTCTGCAACTTTTCGAGACAAACTGTGAGCGTCTTCACTCCGACCGTCACGGATTATTATCGACCAAATCGGCGACGACAGGCGGCGTTGTCTCCGCGAAGCTCCGACTTGAAACTGAGGAACCCCGTTGGAGGGCATCGGAGGTGGGCGGGAAACTCTGTGACCATCCTGACATCCTTGAACTTACCGGAGTCGCCTCAGCTCCGGCGGGAGAACTTGATCGCGATTACTGTGTGTGTCTGTGCGTGTGATTGTGTTTGTCCGGGAGGGTTTTTTTTTTTTTAATTCCTCAGGGATCGCAGCAGCTTCATCTAGAAAAAAACAAAAAACAGAAATGTGGACGTGCAGCTGTGATGCGACGGGAAGCTCCTGCGGCCGATCGAATCCCCAGAGAGGCTCCTCGTTAAGGTAGACATTAGCAAGAACTTACTGTTTCCAACCCTGGCGACTCGCTTACTGTAAATAGCCTTATAATTTTATTTCCTGCTCAATTAAAGACGGAAATCATGAGCCGGTTTAGCTTCAACCTGTTTGTTTAACTGCCTGCTGCGTTTTATTTCTTCATTTATTCCACTTTAGTTATGAAATAATGTATGAAATGTGTTTCTTTCTTTTTTTTATTCGTCAGTAAATCACCTTTTTTTGGTTCTATTTTTTTTTTTAAATCTGCCCCTCTGCCGTCTATTTAATCACTGACTTGTGTGCGTTTACCTGTAGGTGTGTCTCTATTTTTGTGATGTTGTGACACTGTGTGTGTGCAAAACAAGGTGCTTGGAAAAGCCTTACGAATTAAAAAAAAGCTGCTGGTTACAGAGAAAACCCTTCATATATATATATACACACAAGCAGCGTTCAGGTGAGCTGCAGGAACACCTGTTTAAGGAGCTTTGATTGTGTTTTGTGTTGCAGAAACAACCGTAAAGGTACAAAACTGTTGCAGCTTTTCCTCCGTCTGCTGCTCACCTGAATGGGCGTGAAAATAATGATTTTTAAAAAAAAAACAAGGGCTTCATCCCTTCATCTAAATATTCCTTCTGCTACGCCGGGCGAGTTTCCCGGGATCTGTTTTTATTTTTACTTGAAGACCGGTTCTGGTAATAAAATGATCGACGTGCACAACAAAGCGGCGTCCTGCTCTTATTCAAGCTCTTACATCAGGAGTCCTCCAGCCTGACACTGAACTCATCCACAGTCCTTTTTATCTAACTCCAATGTCAGAGCAGCGCCCCCTAGCGGTGACTGTAGGCAGCACATGACAGTTTACATCACACCTCTGAGAAGTGTGCAGCTTTAATGTTTTAATGCTGCTCAGCTGAGAAGGAAACAAAACAAGCTGCACATGTTCACGAATTATTAATATGAAGAAGCTTTAATTGTTCCCTGAGCATCCTGAAGGTGTTTCAAGGTTTTTGCCTCCAGGATGTTTTTTACAGGCAGTAACAGTGACGTCACGTCAGGTGAGTGAAGCTCACAGCGGGCAGCGGAGGAAGTGCTACACGCTCTCCTTCAAAATAAAACCGAGCTGGACGTGTTTTGGTAAAATTACACAACATGCAGTGATCAGATGTAATTACATTTACTGACGTGCTGTGCTTGAGTGCAGTGTGCTGCTTGTAGTTGAGTGTTTAAATGCTGCTTTTTCCTTTAAACTACATTTCAGAAGGTCACGTCTTGACTTATGTACATCCATCTGACGGCGTTTTTAAGATGCAGGTTTGACACAACGGACGATAAAACAAACAATACAGCATATAATTACAGAATAAATCATGTTACTGTAAGTACTGGCTTACGCTTTATGTTTTTTTTTAAACAAATATGTATTTTAAGATGTTTTTAAACATTTCTTGATCCTTTTTAAAAAAAAGTATTGCTTCAACATTTGTACTAGATTTTGAAATTCAAAACGAAGGCTTCTTTTTATGTCCTATATTCTTTTTAAAGGATATTCATGTTGTGTTTTGGGATCACTTTAGATTTCTTTCACTAATAATGATAATAATTAATCAATAACATAGTCAGAGGGACCAAACCAGCACTCTTACTGCAACCTCCATGGTGCTGTTGTGTACTTCTATTTCATGCAACACTTCTACTTGTATTAAAGTATTTTTACTTTTAAAGTAAAGGATATAAATGTTTTCTTCCACCTATGATGAGGAATCACCTGCTTGTCTGAACCATCGCTGCACTAAGGTAAGATTTAACTAAAGTATCGTTTGGATTTCTGCAGTGTTTTGTTTTTGTTGTTGCGAAACACGTGCTTTTATTGTGGAGGGTACAAGCGGAAGCCCCCGTGGTTCGCCTCTGTAACTTGACGGTTCGGGTTCCGTCTGACGGAGAAGCTGCCGAACCAGCCCAGAGCGCTCCGCGGGCTTCGGAGGATGTCCACCCCGCTGCGGGGACACGCAGCTCCGGGCGGGATGCTCGAGTCCAGCCGGCCGGTCCTGGTCCAGTCGCCCCCCCGCCGCCGCCGCCGCTGCCGCGTCCTGCACCCATGAAGCCCCCGCTGATGAAGCCCCGAGCAGCCGGAGAGAGGCGGACAGCGGCCGCAGACAGAGAGCATGTACTGGCGCGTCGGGTTCGCCTGGTTGCGGTCGTGTGTGGTTGATCTCGGCCAGAACCAGAGCTGCTCCTCCTCCTCCTCCTCCGGCCTGCCGGGCTCCGATGAGCAGCTCCGGCTGTTCGGGTACATCGTCGCCTGCCCGCTGCAGGACTGCGGCGGCATCATGTCCGCTCTGGGCTCGGACTCCTGGTGGAGGAAGACGCTGTATGTGACCGGAGGGGCTCTGCTGGCCGCCGCCGCCTATCTGCTGCACGAACTGCTGGCCATCAGGTACCGGTACCGGGAGCAGGAGGCTGAGGAGGAGGAGGAGGCGGCCGCCGGCAGGCCTCCGGGCCCGGGCAGGGCTGCAGGAGGAGCCGCGGTGGATGTGCATGTGTCGGGGCTGCTGTTACTTAATGTTGGGCGGGGTGAAGCAGGAGTCGTGAGTGGGTGGGTTGTGATGTAACGGAACCCCCACCCCCCCACCACCACCACCTCCGACACAAACACACCGGGAGACCTCCATCTCGGTGGATCGGTGCCCGGTGCGGCTGCAGCCTCCGGGTCCGACCCAGAGGCTCCGGTCCGGCTTGTTGTCGTCCCGCTGACCTCCCGCTCTGGAGGTCACTTTGTCTGCTTCAAGGACGTGATGCGAGCTGCAGGATGGAGAGGATGGAGGCAGAAACCCGGAGAAACACGGCAGATGGTTTACTACTGCAGGCTGCCGATATTGATTATTATTGATTATTCATTGGCAGCAGTCTGTCGTCGGGTTACCTGCAGTCAGGCCTCCGTCAGCCAGAGAGACAGCAGTGGTGTGACAGGCTGGAGGTGGTGCATTCCTGGTGCTCCACCGTAAACAAACGATGCAGCACAAACCCAGAGCAGGAAGGGATGAGAGTAGAGAAGAGCCTCAGAGCTGCAGCCAGGAGCTTCCAGGCTGAGTGAGGTCGATGTTTAAACAGATCTGCACGAGTAAAAAAATAAATCCACGGATAATTAGTGGGATTAGTGTGATGTTTGTGGATAAAGTTGCATAAAACAGTCACGAAAAAAAACGTAAAATGTAATGAAGTGCTAATAATAATATAAGTACTAATATTAATTTATTCAAGCTTCTTTTTTTCTTTTCTTCTGCGGTTGTTTTTATTGTTGCTGACGTTAACTGATGCAGCTGAAGGGGGACAGGAGTCCTGGTTCCGTCCTCTGGGCTCCAGTGAGGAAGGACGAGGCCTCACTGCTCTATTTACAGCCGCTCAGTGTTTAGGACAGTTCACGGTTTTATTTGGTAAAAGAGCTTTTATTTTGATATCTTTGGTGCCTCAGAAGCAGATCAGCTGGTCTGTGGAGTCTTCAGAGACCGGTTCTGGTTCTGGTTCTGCTGCTGTTTGTGGGTTTAGACGTCAGAAAGCCTGACATCAGCAGCATCAGTCAGTAGTCAGACTCATGGCTGATGTTTTCTGGTGTTTGTGTTGCTTCAGAGTTGGTTCACTACGACCGGGACCTGATTAATCAGAAAGATGCTGAATATCAGTTTTTAATAATTAGTCAGTTCCTGCTGCATCTGTCTGTGGAGAACAAGGGGAGTCCCTCATTCCTTCCTTCGTCCTTCCTTCCTTCCTTAATTGTTTCTTTCTTTCTTTCTTTCGTTCTTTCTTTCTTTCTTTCTTTCTTTCTTTCTTTCATCTTTCTGTCTTTCCTTCCTTTGTTCCCTTCTTCCGCCCTTCTGTTCTTCCTTCCTTCCTTCCTTCCCTCCTTCCTTCTTGTTTTATTTGTTCCTTTCTTCATTTTTTCCTTCCTTGTTTCTTACTTTATCTTTCTGTCTTTCCTTCCTTCCGCCCTTCTGTTCTTCCTTCCTGTCTTCCTCCCTTCTTCTTTTGTTTGTTCATTTCTTTCTTCCTTTCTTCCTTGTTTCTTTCTTTCTTCTGTCATTAGTTTGTCTTTCCTTTCCTTCTTCCTTTATCTTTGTGTCTTTCCTTCCTTCGTTCCTTTCTTCTGCCCTTCTGTTCTTCCTTCCTTCTTGTTTCATTTGTTCCTTTCTTCATTTTTTCTTTCTTTCTTTCTTTCATTCTTCCTTCCTTCCTTCCTTCCTTTATCTTTCTGTCTTTCCTTCCTTCATATATCATTTGTTCCTTTCTTCTTTTATTTTTTCCTTCTTCCTTTATTGTTCTGTCTTTCCTTCCTTCCTTCCTTCCTTCCTTCCTTCTTTCCTTCCTGCCTTCCTTCCTTCCTTCCTTCCTTCCTTCCTTCCTTCCTTCCTTCCTACACGTTGCAGTTGGTCTGACTCACTGTTTAAACAGTCCAGTCGGTACTTTTATCACTTCCTGCTGCTCTCTTTGTTCAGCAGTCACACATTAAAATCTGTCCAAACATTCAGCTGGAACGTCACTCTTAAAAATTATACCGGAAATCAAATCATAACGAATGAATCTTTGGGGACTTTCTTCACCTTCACTTCTGTAATCTGACCTCAGATCAGCTGTTTGGTGTTTTCTCTGTGTCTGGTTCTGATGTAGCGGGTCACACACTCACACCTTTGTTCTGCTTCCCGTCCTCGTCACAGGAAGGAGGAAGAGCTGGACTCTAAAGACGCCATCATCCTCCACCAGTTCTCCCGACCCACATCCGGCGCCCCGTCGCTGTCCCCCTTCTGCCTTAAGATGGAGACCTACCTCCGCATGGTGGACCTGCCCTACCAGGTCAGCACAACACGTCCGGTTCTGTTGATGCCCCGCTGGCTGCTCCCACCGCTGCAGCCGTGACGATCTCTTCCCTCTCCTTCTCCTGCAGAACTACTTTGACGGGAAGCTGTCGCCGCAGGGGAAGATGCCGTGGATCGAGTACAACCAGGAGCAGGTGTTCGGCACCGAGTTCATCATCGACTTCCTGGAGGAGCGTCTGGGCGTGAGCCTCAACAAGAGCCTGACGCCGCAGGAGAAGGCCGTGTCGCGGGCCGTCACCAAGATGGTGGAGGAGCACTTCTACTGGTGACCACACACGAGTTCTCTCACACCAGCACAGTGTGTTCGAATAACAGAGTTTTAACTGCTCAGAATGAGGGAAACATCTGCTTTATCAGGCATTTATTGAGTCAGTCCACCTTATATTTGAATGTCAACTCCTTCTGAATCCTCTGAACCCCAAAACAAGTCAGCAGGTTTGAAATGCAGGAGATGCTTCAGAAAAAAGTCATAAAAACGTCACCGATTATCAGCCAGAAACAGTGAAAATACAAAAGAATTCAGATTTCCAACTTTCAGATGGTCTTTGAATCTTAAATCTTAAAAAGAAAATACATACATACACATAGAGAAGTTTAAAATGTGGTTTTATCAAAATCACTTTGTTCTGCATTTGTCATTTTGTTATTTCTTCTTCATCATCATCATCATCATCATCATCATCATCATCATCAAGTATTTCTTCTTCTTCTTCTTCATCATCATCATCAAGTATTTCTTCTTCTTCTTCTTCTTCATCATCATGTATTTCTTCCTCTTCTTTGTTATTTCTTCTTCTTCTTCTGTTATTTTTTCTTCTTCTTCTTCATCAAGTATTTCTTCCTCATCGTTATTTCTTCTTTTACTTCTTCCACTTCTGGTATTTTTCTTCTTCTGGTATTTCTTCTTCTTCTTCTGTTATCTTTTCTTCTTCCTCCTCTTCTTCATTTATTTCTTCTTCTTTTGTTATTACTTCTTCAGTTCTTCCTCTTCCTGGTTAATCATCCCTACTGTTCCTATCAGCTCCGGCTGCTGTGTGTCTGGGTCTAAACCGGTGTGTCCTTGCTCAGGACGGTGGCGTACTGTCAGTGGGTGGACAACCTGGAGGAAACCCAGAAGATGCTGTCGGTGAGCGGGCCGCTGAGCGACCTGCTCCGGTGGATCCTGAGTCACCTGACCGGCGGGATCGTGAAGAGGGAGATGTACGGACACGGCATCGGCCGCTTCTCCAGGGACGAGGTCTACGCGCTGATGGAGAAGGACATGCGCACGCTGGCCACGCTGCTCGGTGAGGACGGCCTCATTGTCATTATTACTAATCAATAAACATGAATATGAAGGTATTGGAACATACAGGAGGAGCCAGACTGGCTTTCATTTATTTACATTTTATTTTATTGTTTTTATGGGATTATGTTTTATTCTGCATGTTTTTCTGATTTATTTTATTTATGTATTTCTGTACATATTATGTATTTCTATTATTTCATTATATTTTTGAGCTGTTTTTTAAATGTAATTTTACAGAGTTTATGTCATTTTATTTAAATTGTTTTTGTTGTTTTATTCTTGTTTGAAAATTCTGATCTTTTACTTGAGTTTTTATTGTTTTATGTTTCTTTTTTTTCCTTTTTTTTGTTCTATTTTTATTGCTTTACTGTCATTTTTTGTCTTTCTGATAGTTATTCTGTAGTGTTTCTTATTTCATTATTATTTTAACAGCAGTAAATTAAAGCCGCAAGTGGCGATGGACGGGTCCTCGCCCTAC